ACATATTAAATTATTACCTTATTAAAATACTCAGAGGAAACCACCAGCATCTCAGACATTCAGTGCCTGTTGCTTAGAGCACAGTTTAAGCTCTCAGGTGCTAAGCATGGAAATGCTTTCACATTTCAAACATCAGTTAAAGCTGTTTTTCTCAACTTTTTTTTTTTTTTTTTTTTTTTTTTTTTAAATTTTCTATTGGAGCCTCTTGTAATTTTGTTCCCAGTGCAGAAGTGGTAATTAACATGCACACAGAAAAAGAATCACACTTTTTAAAGGCACATCCCTCATTGTTTGAGGAGGGAAACTGCTCTTTGCCTCTTGTACTTACAAAGAGGATTGGTTACTACATTCTAGGCTATGGAGGAAAGTCATTACTTTGCAGCTGAGGGCATAATCACAAAGACCACATGCTGCACAGGGCTGACCAAGGGAATAACGTGATATGTGGACGTTCTAAGGAAGAGGTCCTAATTTGCTCCTCAGAGCTCAGATGAAGGTAGAAATCAACTGTAATTAATAGTGGGCAAGCACTTCTGATCTGAAAATCAAGGGCACGTAGATGCTCCCAAAGATGTCTTTAGTTTCTTTACTAGTTCCCCTTTCCACAGAGAACCATGTGACAAGCAAAAACCACATTAAACAGACATTTTGGGTATGGAAGCAAATGGAGAGTAGGACTTACTGAAGTTACACTGCCTACATTAAACTTCCTTTTGACACAGACTTGAGTGAAGGGGTACCCAGTGCTGTCAGGTAGTGTTTTGTGAAGATACAAGCAGAGGACACCTGAGCCCTAGTACTAAACAGTGCTGGCAGTCTTTGCTCCAAATGAAGTCAATGGCAACTGCAGCTGCTCAGAACAGACGTAAATTACAGCACCACAACAGCATTTTTCCTGGCTCATCTAATTACTGCTGAAGGAGATACATGGGGCACAACAATGTCTGGCAGAGAGAGGCTTTACTGGGAATAGAAAGAATCCTGGTCCAGATTCACAACAGTTTTGTTTGTAAAACAGCAGCCCAACTTGACAGATGTAGGCAAGAAAAAGCTGAAATTATCATTCGGCCATATAATCACATAAAGATAACCTTATAAATAAGGTGACCTAAGCAGCAGCAATGCCCTGTCAGGTCCCTCATTGTTGGGTTCAATGAATACTGAGGAAGGGTTTTCTACTGCGTAACCGCAGTCTAAACATATCTTCAGCTCATGCTTTTAACCAGTATTCTGCCACTATAGATATAGGACACTCTCCCCAGCCAACTAAACTAGGCAAGCCAAACCATATTTTACTACATTACATAATTCAAGGTATGTCTACATTAGGGGTGCTGCCAGTATAGAACAAAAACCCTTTCACACCATTACGGCATAATACTATACTGGCAAAAAGAGTCAAGTCTGTATCTGGTTGGGAATAGCTGCCACTCATGGACAGCTAGTCAAGTTACTCGTGTTAGCTCTGGCAGCAAAAGCCAGCACTTCATTCTTGCACGTTTGGTATCCTTAAAGTATGATATATGCAGTGTATGTGGCCCACTCTTTTATATAATAAACATGTCAACCATAAAAGAAGGAAAAGAAGAGAAAAAGATCACAGTTATTATATCATTGGTTTTTTGCTTACCACAAGTCCTAGCACAAGGGTACGCACTCTCTCCCCAATCTCTGGTGAAATGTCATTGCCAAACTGCTGTAAGGTTGTAAGAAATCTCTTCAGTTTGCTGAGTTGCCTAGCTCCACAAGCTGGCGGTAACTGCTGGTTAGCCAGAGAAGAGGAAGAGGAAGAGGATGGCCCATTGCTAAAGCCATTAGGAGGAGATGGAGCTCCATTTAACGCTGTTGGCGAATGGCTAGTGCCATTGGTTACTGAAAGAAAAAGAGAGAAGGGAGGATAAAATAGAAAGAGGGTGGGAGAGAGAGAGAGAAAAAGAAGACAGAGGGGAAAATCCATCAGCTTATGTTTTCTGTGCTTGACCTCAAAATTAATTAAGTTGCACAATCAAAGATAATTAGCCTTTTGACAGAGCGACACTCTGCAGTTTATATCAATTTCCCAGTAGCTGGTACTGAACGGTGTATAGACTGGAAGTAACAGCAGCTGCCTCTCGCACAGCCCCCCCCAAAGTGCTCCTGGACCTGAAAAGCATCATTTGAATACCAGCCTTTTGTCAGAGGATTGGGGGGGGAGAACAGAGACAGAAAGAGCATGAGTGCATGTATGACTGAAGACAAAAAAAATTGCTCTTTGGGGTAGAAAAAAATGTGCAGACATATTTCACGAAGCCTCAGTTTATCTCTGAATATTTTTACTTGTGTTTTGTACACACAACTGACAGCTGTGTTTATAAAACAGGACTTTCACGTTTTAACCTTACACCACCCAATGAGAAGGTTATTTTTGCCAATACAAATTTCCTAGCTGCTAACATACGGAGCACACGAAGTTATCTGTGCAGGTACAAATGGTGCCATGCTCACTGTGGCCTGAAGCCTTGCAGCTAGGGCATGAAGCTAGACTTCCGAAGACTTCTCAGAGACCACGAGCAAATCACTCGGCTTTCCTGTGCCAATACCATATCTCTAAAAAGGATAGGAAAGCATTCCCCTCCTGTTGCAAGGTTGTTGTGAGAATAACTATCTAAAGTACTAAGTGTTCAAAATTTATGGCAACGATATTCATGCAGACATACTGAAGACAACAACAGACAGTTTTTGGCAGCGACATCAGTTTGATTCTTATCCACACTCCAGAAGAGAATCAAACTGAGGACATCCTTTTCCACCCAGGTTACTTGGAACAGCAACAGTCAAACACACTCTGTTGAGGTTGTTTGAGTCTGACTCGCCAAAATGACAGCGAATGTCAAGAAAAAGGACGGCTCCCTAGAAATACGAATGTACCAATGCACTGGCAGCTGTGCTCAGCTGGCCGTTGCCCTGGAGAAATCTGCTGTTTGGGAATTCACTCAGAACCCATCCCAAAAACCATCAAAAGCCAGGAACTTGTCTACAATCAAAAATGCATAGGAATATTACTCTAAATTTCTTCCTATTTAAAAGCATAACCATGGCAAGCTAGCAACTTAAAGAACTTTCTCTGTTTCTTAATGACTGGCCTCTCTGAAGCCAAACCTCCCTTTCTCTTTGTCACTTTCTTAATCAGTCATCTTTATTTTCAGACAGCAAATCCTTTTTGAGGGTGGACATCTATTACTAGATTTAAATCACTACGCTATTACCAGATTTAAATCACTACCACAATACTTTTGAAGCAGCTTTTGTCCTGATGACTGAAGTGCCCTTCTGGAGATACCACAGAAAAAGCTATCTGAATGGTTATCTCGTTTCTGCTTGTGTTTCATCCTAGTTTTTGGTTGCCTATTCTAGCTGCGTGGGCTAGCGAGAACAAGAAGTGGAAAAAGCAGAAATAGAAAGAAGCTGGCTTCAGCAAGTTCAGCTCCACGTGTAGCTCCAAGCCATGCTCTCTGAGCACTGCAGTAGAGTGAGATATCTGAGTAAACAAATACACCGTGATTGCAAGGAACTTGCAGAGCCAAAAGTCATCATACCGTGAACTCAGTAAATGAGGACTGCGAAGAATAAGAACATGTCCTCCTCTAGCCCGACACCACCCAACAACCCAGTCACCGGTAAGGGGCTGCCCTAGGCAGAGGGTCAAGAAAGGCTACGATCAAGAAAGCACAGAACAGCAGAGTTCCTAGGACAGATACGAGGAGGGGAAAGGCAGGTAAAACTTCTCCCACAACAAAAGAAATATAGAAATACTCCCCAAATGCAGCTTCTCTAAAACTTTCTTTTTTTTTTTTTTTTTTTTTTTTTTTTAAATAGCCCACCTCATACTAATGATTTTACCTCTTTCTTTATAATGTCTGAATTTGCCAACTGGCAAAGATCTACGTCATTTCTAAAACAAACCCATGTTATTAATAAAACAGCATTTAGCATTTAAAATTTCAAACTAATATAAGTCAAGAGTTTTTAATCATCTAAACCAAAGAAAACAAGCATACTCTTGACCAGAGAACAAGTGTGATCTTCCTGGACTACAGGCATTCCCACTGTAGTAATAATAAATGTAACAGACACTCCAACAGAAGCGACTGTTTACTGAACAAGCTGGAACTGCTAAAGCCAAACAGTGTAAGGGCAATTAAAATCAGATTTTTTTATTTTTTTTTAAAGAATTTTAGTCTTCATATAAACAGCCCCAAAAACCCAGCTATGGTTCATACACCTTCCAAAGTGCTTAACCCAATCAAATAAACAAACATCCAGAAATCTTGTGAGTACACTGAATACTATAAAAGTGATTAAAGAAGAACATTGTCCTATTACTTTTATGATTACCAAAGATTACCCTGAAAAAGCTTTATCTGTAAGAGCCCCATCCTGCAAAAACCTAGAAACAATTTAACTTTAGACTGGAGCAACTCCTAGGATGATTCAGATGCTGGAGTTAAGCAAAACAGACAAATCTTTGCAGGATCAAGGTCACTGGGTTAAATTTGAGTTTACGCGAATAGCTGGCACAAACCCTCCTTGCTGTTTAAATTCGATGTAAATCGTCAGGACAGGGTTCCCTGGGATAAGTAGCACAACGGCCTCCAGCTGGCCTTCCGCATAGAGGTGAATTTTAAATAAGGCATTTAACAGACAGAAAGGGACTAAGCAGACATAGGCAAGACAAATAGAAGATGCAGCCTTCATTCTGTTTAGGCATATGTATTCTACTGTTCTAAAAATGTTTTATTTAAAATGTGAAATGTAAACACATTCTCATGTTTATACTATTACAAGGCAGTATAAAAGACACCAAAAATTTGCAGCTAAATCTTGGTAAGAGAAATGTGGATCATTTCATGGCTGTGAAAAGAATAGTCCAGACAACATGCCAGATTCAAATCTCAGTTACACTGACACGAATGCAGAGTAATTCCATCAAGACTAGTAGAGTTTCTTGTGCGTTTACATCAATAAACTGAGACAGAGATGCAGCCCCAAGTGACCCAAATCAAGTGAAGTGGTCACAGACTAGAAATTTCTAGATAAAACAATAAAAGGCCTTTATTTTTTGTTTTATATCAATATTGACTAGACATTATATAGCACTTAAAACAGAATTCTTCATTCATTCATAAGTGGGATGAAGATAAGTATTTTCTCTATGAATTACCCCCACTTTAAAAACAAAAACAAACAAAACCCCTACGTTTCTATACAAAAGGGAACAGGACCCCTTAAACAATAGAATGGCATAAATGATGAGAAGAAGAATTTTTGTACTTCTCACAGAAGGAGTGATCTGAGCATTAAGTACAAGGGAAACCAGCGCTCACTGTTCTTTGATACTGCAGCCAAGCTGTCAATGAAATAACAACACAACTCTGAGCTGAATGTCTTAATACCTTAAAGATGCGTTAATCTGTTGTGATCTTAGTTTTGCTTTATTATTTTATCGCAGTACAACCAAATGCTGCTCCTGACATGTCATGCAGGTTTCCCTTCACATATTTTGGTTTCTGACACACATAATAGAAAGAATATGGAAGAAAAGGAAGAAAAATAGGTCTAATTACACGTTGTGGGCGTGAATGAACTGGTTCTTGGAGCTCCTTGGGTAGTGGGAGGAGGTGGCATGGTTGGAGGCGTCAGCCTGGATTGTGTCTTCACATCCACAGGTGAGTCTGGCATTGTGGAATGCTTCTCAGTGCGATCTGCAACACACACCACAGGAACACACCGGTTTATTTCCCCAAGCACACCCCCTCTGACAAAAACTTAAAAGCTAATGCAAGAAGTGAGCCATTTCAGCATCTGCCGCAAAAGATTACACCTGATTATCTACTCCAGTGTGCTCTTCCCAAATTATATCATCTAAACCTTACTTAAGAAGGTGTAACACAGATGGTAAGACCTCATTTGTAGCAGTGCTGCATTATCTTTTGTTTTTATTTCTAACATGTACAGATGCTACCTCCCAAGCACTCCTGGAGCTGCAATAATGCCACCTCCCTTCAAGGCTCTCACGTTAACCATGAGGAAAAAACAGAGAAAGAGACAGGAAGGTAGTAAATGCCCTTATGACAGCCCTTCCAGAACTAAAACCTGAAGCTCTTTAGTACAGGTGAGATATTGGCTGGGACATCGGTTGAAGCCAGCTCTCTTCATGGCTCTTCTTTGTAACACCTGCTGCCCTCTCCATCCCTTCTCTTTGTAATCATGGAGAGATACTTATGTTAAATACTGCGCGTCTCCTGTATTACTTTACCACCCTGCCCCTGCATATTCTTACATTCACCAGAAAAATAAACACAACATGCCAACACAGTAAGCCAATCGTCACACATACATACCATTGTTTTTTAAAAAGCATCTAAGTTTGCACCTTCACACATTAAAACAACTTTAATGTTCAAAACCTGTAACATAAATAGAAACATACCTCCACAACAAAACAAAACAAACAAAAGGCAAAAAGAGGCAGAAAAACTAACAGTTCTCTTGCAACTAAAGATGCAAGACATTTGATATAGAAGCTACAGAAGTATCTTCTTTTTCCAACATCTTTTTGGACACCTCTATGTTAAAATTTTAAAAAACCCACCCAAACCCTTATGTTTCATTTATCGAGAATGGGCAAAACATGACAACATTTACCAACTGAAAGCAAAATTAAGGCTTCCTGGCTCATGCCAGGAGTTTAGCGAGCCATCTTGAGTAAAGATGAGTAAGATCAAGTTTAGCTTTTAATGGGCATAAGTTAAATTCTTCCATCCCTTCTTTGGGGGGTTGGGGTTATTTATTTTATATGCTGTCCTACACAAGTCTTCCTGAGCTCCATTAAACTATTTTGCAAAGCAAGTAAGTGTCACTGCTAATGGGTAAGCATGTAAGTCTGCGGTTTTAACTCACGACAATAGCAAAGTCCGTCACGTTCTACAAATTCTGTCACTCCACGTTGCGACGTGCTTTCTTTGTTCTTACTAACAACATAGAAACTTTAACCAAATATCATATTTAAAATTTGCCCTAAGAGACACTAAGAGAAATTAAATGCAATGCACACATTTAACAAAGGAAGGGTATGTTTAAAAAGAGCCTCAAAACTCTTAATTATCAGAACACTTAATTATCAGAAAGTTTAAAAAAAAAAAAAGACACACACAAAAAAATCCCACAAAAATGAACAACGCATAACAGATACCAGTCTTTAGCTGCCTGAAACTGAGGAATTATGTCCCATAGATGCAGCGTGTCAGGTACGGCCATTATAAAAACCATCTTCACCCTTTGTAGAAGTGCCTACAGACGATGCTTCAGTTCTCAGGGAAAGGGAGTCATTTCATATAGAATTTAGAGACAAGCTTGGAGGGGATGAGCAGTGAAACACCCCCAGAAGAGGAAGAGGGCAATACAGATACAGTATTGTAGGATCTGTAGTGTTGATCTAAGGTTAAGTAAACCATAAATATTAAGGCTGCTACATAGACAGGTGAGGTTTGGTTTGCAAATCAAGCAACAGTAAATTATTACATGCTAGAAAACAAAAGCAAGTTTTTAAATATATTCTATACAAATTTCCTTTCCATATCGCTATACTAAAACAGTTAAATCTATATCTTCAACAAGCCATTCATTTAATATAAAGAACTATGAAAACTCGTCTTGAAATGTTAATTGCTTCCTTAATAGCCGAATTCATCTTGCACTCACCTCAACCAACCTCAGCAACAAGGGAATAAATAGCTTTCAGCTCATGT